TTTCACTTTTAAATATAATGTTATAGGCCATTATATTCAACAAACAGAACATAGAATTTGCTAGTTGGGGGCAAAGTTTAGAAATGAAAATGGGCATTGAAACTAGATTTTAAAATGAAAAACTTGTTAGTTAATTATTAAAAAAAACCATCAAATAGGTAAGGTTTGACAGTTATTATTAAAAGCTGTGGGGAAAATGACTAAAAAAACTTGAAAATAGGAAATTTCAAAAAGCATAGCTAACACTTCCAAATAATAGGGAAGAAAGAAAAACCTGAACTAGAATTATAAAAATATGGAAAAATGACCAAATATCCATATGTGATGCTCAGAACAAGATGTTGATCTGTATTCAAAACTTGTTGATTTATGTTTCTATCTTATTATTTCCATGGTTACTTGGTTTCATAGATACCCTTGGTCCTTCTCTCACCAAACCAAATGTGAGACTTTGTTTGACACACCCATACATAGTACAATATACAACACCTATTACGATCCATCATCTTAAAGAAGAGGCTTAATTATACTCCAAAAGTTGCCTCAATCAGCCACTTTCATTATGGTAATGAGAGGCTGCAAAACATGGAAAGGCATAAACAAATATTGTTCAAAAGATTTACTCAAAGATCTATGTCATGCTTGAATGATTTGGCTTGTTTTGCAAAACATTTGGAGCCAAAAGTCTGTTCTTATTCAGAGATCATTAAGCTTATTGAACAAGAACTTGTGATATTGACACTACTAGATTCTGGCTTCATCAATGAACTCTTCATCTTATGGGATGGATGAGTTGGAAAATGATGCTAAATTATCACAGCCATAGTTAGAGATGTCTAGAATTGAAGATTTGTTTTTACTTGAGAACCAGCTTCCACTCTTTATTATTGAAGAGTTGTTTTGTTCAATAAAGCTTTTCCCTTGCAAGATCGTCGTGGTAGCCTCCCTTCATTTCTTAAGCTCACTGATAAAGCCTAATTTTTATACATTTTATCCCACATAAATTTAGGATTTAATTGATAATTTTGAGTTTAAATGGGTTTTTATGCATTATTGGATTAATTGGTTTATTTTTAGATTTTTCATAAAAATTGAGATTTTGAATTAAAAATATAAATATTTTGTGATTTCCTATTTTCAACTTGGAATTAATTTTTCGTATTTCTTTGCAAACAAGTCTCATATTTTTAGAAAGATTATTTTTAGAAAGTTTTGTAATTTCTTGCATAATTTTTGTACATATCTAATATTTAATTTTGATATAGATTACATTATATTTGGATATAATCTATATTAATGGATACACTTAAATTTTTGTAGATGAAGAAAGAACATATAGAAAATCCAATAGTACAAGATTATTTCTTGGAATTTAAGCACAATCCAATGGCTAATATCAAGTGGGTTAATTAATTACTAATGGGCTAGAATTTTGGATCCACAAAAATTTCCCTTTTCTCCCATTAAAATATTCCTTCCATTGGCCATAATCACTATTCATGCTATATAGTATATACCATATTTCCTTCGTCCCATATTCACCATACAATACCGTGTCTCACCATCTTTGAATTACCCACGGCCACCATCAAGTCACTTGTCAATTACTATCTTGAATCCTTCTCTCCAGGTTCTACTCCATTCTTTCGGCCATTCACGTAAACCCTCCCCTCCCCCCTCCCCCAATGTATTATTTGATTTCAATCCCATACATCATTCTCCTTCATTCAACATACACAAAGAACCCAAGCCATTCTTTCTCAATTTCCTTACCCTTGTGGCTGTGCTTTGCGTCGTTAAGCTTGGAGGGAAGATGATTTTGATGGCAGCTTAAGCTTCCTTGGGAGACAACTTGGGAGGAGCATGGAGGAGGCTTGAGCTTTGGGCTAGCACTTGAAGACCACAAGAGAGTAATATTCCATTTATCTTTTTAATTCAAGGACTTAAAATTGTTTAGTTTTAAATAGTTTTAAGTTGTATTTTTGTGAGAAAATTTAGTTCTAGATTGTCGTTTTTATTCTTGGATTGGATTGATATTTGGATTCTATTTGTGCTAAGACAATTGCTGGAATTTATGTTTATGAACCTTTGCATTGTTAATTGAATTTATAATTGAGTTTTCATTATGGATTTAATTATCAATGTGGTTTGAATTGCAAAATTGGGTTCTTTTGCCTCTTGATTGTTTAATTAAGTTGGTAAATTATCTAATTGTTTAATTGGATAATCCTAAACATAATTTTCAGAATTAATTTGAATTATTTGTTATTGTTTTTAATGAGTTTAATTAACCAACCTTATATCATTATGAATTCTCTAATGGTTTAAAGGTTTTTGAAGTTGACGGTTCCTTTTGTTTCAAGTAGGCAATTAGACTTATTAGTTCCACTTTCTTATCACTTCCCTTTGGTCTAATTAATTGATTAAGGTTATGAAGGTTAAATCCATGCAACTCCTAAGTTGTTCCTTTTACCGTACATAAAGAAAAACTTCTCAATTTTACTTATTGATTTTTTTTGCTTTCTGGTTAATTTTCTTTATTTATCCTTTTAATTTTTCTTAAAAAAATGCCCCCAAAAATTGCATTTGCATTCATTTAGTTTGATTAAATTTTCATATAGATTTTAGGACATTTGCATCTTGCATTTAAAATTAGAATTTTGCATTTTAGTTTAGGTCCAATTTATTGCATTTTTCATCACCTAAAGAAACTCATAACTTGCTCCTTGGAAGTAATGACCTAGATTGATCTTAAACTACAAATTAATTAGGACTTAGTTTAATTGAATGCTTTAACGACAGAGGTATCATCACTCACAAATAAGTATTTTTGGTATTATAATAACATACAAAAATTAGAGCCCAATCCTGATATTGAGATAAAGCATTTTACAAATCTTCTAATATTATGAATAGCTATTTTTTTAATTTGATAATTAAGCGTAATTTGAAAAATACTACAATTTTGTGACAGATTTGATAAGTTAATTTCCATTTGAACTCCTTAGCTTTAATCTGTGCTATACTGCTATTATATAAGAAAGCACCGATGACAAGGACAAATTACTTTATCGGATTTTTTTTGGGGGTACAATTTATAGGATGAATTTCAAACACACACATAGTGAGGGAACATACCTCACTTTTCTCAGTCGCAATAACAAAAAAAAAAGAAGAAGGAAGAATTACAATCAAGTTCTAAGAAAAGAAAACAATTACTAAAAAATTCCAATAACAATTTAAGTGGCCTGTAATAACAAGTTTTAGAGTAGAAAATAATAACATTTGGAACTTGTTTTTGTAATTTTTTTCCTTTTTTGCGACCTTATTGTAATTTTTCTATAAAAAGATAGAAAGACTTCAGTTGTGTTTTAATGGGCCTCATCTTTGTGTTTTGCCAATTCAAAGAATGCGGTAGAATAGAGTCTTATTTCGTTTTAACGTCAGAAGGATTAAATTAAAAAGATTAGTAAACCTAACCAACCTAATCGATAGTTTCAACTTTAACCATGCTTTTGAAAGAAACTGGGAATAAATTTCTTGTAGGTGTCTCGATGGCTTAATTATAACTATGAGATACATCCAACACTTAAATATTACATAAATCTTCCTCAGGTGGCGAAAAGTAAGCAAGCAAAAACAAAATACTTGGCAAAAAAAACAAATAGCAGGAGCTTCAATGATATATGATGAGGATTCAAATGTTAGTGATGAAGCCCGGGGAAAAAATATAAATCAAGAGGGCAATGGACTCATAAGTGCCTTCTTGCGAAACAACATATGGCCTTTGTTAGCTTTAGTTGTTTGATTAGGTTTGTACAATGAGATTATTTCACACTTCAATTGCAAGATTGTCGGAATTTTTGAGAATATTAAATTATTAAAAATTGGAATTAGATAATATATATTTATATATATAATTTTAGATTGAATTATGCTGATCGTAATTGAAATTTTTGGGCTATCTGTTGAATTTGTGTGTTTTTCTATAATATTATAATTATATGAGCGTAAATTGTGTGTATTATTACAACCTCGCTGTATTTATTTCTTGCATATATGAATGTATTTATGACATTTTTTTTCTTATTTAATGAAAATAATTAGAACTACGAACATAAATGGTGTTAAAGTTTTACAACTTTAGGGCTTGGAAAGAAATTGCAATTAATTATATACAATTTATCAGACTTTTCGCTCAAATTCAAATGGTTTTATAGTACTACCTCCAATCCTTAATATAAGAGTTAGCTTGACGTTTAATTTGATTCTAAATATAAGACTCCAATCCATTTTATTCTTATATTTATCCATTTTTTAAAATAGTCTTTGTAACAATTACACATTTTAAATATTCCATCAAATGATAGTTTTAACTAATACACATGATTAGTAAGGATATTCTAGGAAGGACAACATCTATTTATTACAGATAACAAACATAACAAATTTCCTTAATTTACTCAAATTAGTCAACTAGCTCTTATATTAAGAACCGAAGGTAGTATTAAACTTTTCAAAATACCCTGAAAATATTCTTTATCAAGAATAATATTGCTTCCTTCCTATGCGATAACAACTTTTTTCCAAAGAGAAGACAGAGTAAAGCGCTTTTAGCTTGTATGGTGGGGATGAATTTTTCATGCCATAGAATAATAAGCAGAAGCTAAGTACTCGAACCAACAGAAAATACTTAGCGTTGCTTTTGTGAAGTTGTCTGCAAATATAGAGAGAAACGCAAGACGCAATACACGCACACATATGCCCTCTCTAAGTCTTCATTTTATAGATTCAAACTGTATGTGTTCGATCATCTGGGAGAATAAGATATTGATGAATCATCTACGGTCTTGTTTATTTTTGTTTTCAATCGACCATTATCCTTTTGTTAACACCATATATATAATTGCTGCAAACAAATCCTTCTTCCTTTCCTTATCATTATTATTTTTGCGAATACATCAGATAAGGATTGACGGTTGCTTCTTAAGTTGAAGAGATCGGAAAGGCACATTCTCTGAGACTATTTCAAAAGAAAAATCTGGTGGATGGAGGACATGAAGCAGAAAGGCTTGACCACTGAGAGTACCCAACAGATGGTGAGATTCCAGTTCGGTTGGTAATTAGGAAAAGAAACATTTATATTTCCCAAGCTTTAATATCTATAACAATTTTCCTTTTTCCCCCTCACATATTTGATCGATACTTTAATTAAGAATATAGTATACTTTAATAATATCTATATTATTAGCTTGTTTGATTAAGTTTAGGTGGCAGCAGCGATACATACTGAGATGAATCAAACAGACTTGGCCTTCGGTGAGATGCAACCACTTCTCTCATCTCAGCCGATAGATTTATCGTCCAATTACAAGCAACAACAACATGTATGCATCCTTTACTACTCTTTCTTCAGTTCTGAATTCTTTTCTTGTTTTCTATATATACTTTCTTTTAGCTTACTATTTTTAAGGAAACTTCTGTTTAATTTCTCAATTATTATACTTTTTTAGCCTTATTTTGTTCCTCCTTTCTTCAGTTCTTAATCCTTTTTGCATCCTGTGCTTTTCATTCGTAATGAATTTTCTTATTTTGTTACGTTCCCTTCAATTTTTTTTGAAGTTTGTTAAATTGCTTTTGTTTAATACACCATTGGAGCTTATTTTTTCCTTCACCCTTATATGGTTTTAGTTATAAACTATTTATGAGAATACAAACAAGTTATTCTTAAGAACACAATTTAGATCGTAAGAGCTCTTGGCACGTTTTTTGAATTATTATTTTACCAATACAGATCAATCTGTCTTTACTTAATCATTATCATTATTATTCAACCATGACAAAACTGGAACTAAATTGAGGACTTTTTAATACAATCATTAAATAAACAGTACCAAGTCTTTTAAGCTCTTGTTGGATCATCCTATGAAGTACATGTAAGCCAAGTGGCTGGTTTAAATGTCAATATGTGTGAGAGTAATAATAATGAATGGGAATGCTATTATTTCATGCATATGGAAAGTCTCATAATATATGTATATATATCTTTTGAGCATATAGAAAGTCTCGTAATATGTGTGTGGGTATCTTCTGAACATCTAACATATGCATCTAAGTCATACTTCATAGGTGGAAGATGAGGTGACTAGAGACATCAAAGAAAATTTTCAAGAATGCAGAGATGATCTTTTGTTACAAGATTGTTGTATCTACAAGGTGCCTACTACGCTTCGTCATCTGAAAGATGAGGCTTATGCCCCAAAAGTTGTTTCGATTGGCCTCTTTCATTATGGTAATGAGAGGCTGCAAGACATGGAAAGGTATAAACAAATATTGCTCAAAAGATTTACTCAGAGCTATGTCAAGTTTGGACGATTTGGTTTGTTTCATAAAACATTTAGAGCCAAAAATTCGTGCTTCTTATTCAGAGTTACCATCACCCTTACTGAACAAAAACTTGTGAAGCTAGCAAGCTAACATTAATGGATGCTAGCTTCATCGTTGAACTCTCCATCATGTACTATGGGAATGATGAGTTACTCAAGAATGGTAAATTGTCACAGCCATGGTTACAGGACTCTATACGTTTTGATTTACTCTTACTTGAGAATCAACTTCCATTCTTTGTTATTGAAGAGCTGTTCAATAAAGCTTTTCCTCATGACCGTTGTGGTATCCCCCCTTCAATTCTTAGGCTCACATATGACTATTTTTGGTGTTTTAACTTGAAACAATTAGAGCCTAATTCTGATGTCAAGATAAAGCACTTTACAGATCTTATTAGATTGTTTCGCATGCAAGGACAAATGTCTCAAGGTCAACATCCATTCTCTGAGGTTGCAAGCCATATTCTTTTATACAATGCGAATAAATTGCAAGAAGCTGGCATCAAGTTGAAGGCTAGTGATAGCAAAGGCCTATTGGACTTGAGATTTTCAGGGCATGCTCCTGAAATTCCAAAAATTCGGGTGGATGTTTACACTGAGCTTTTTTGGGGTAATATTATAGCATTAGAACAATGCCATTATTCTGATAATGCTTACATTGCTGACTATGCCCTTCTTTTTAAGTGGCTAATAGACACAGACAAAGATGTGGATCTCCTCGTTCACAGCGTCGAAAACCATTTAGGTGATACCAATAATGTTGCTTTATTATTTAATGGTCTTTCGGAACATGCCGTTCACTCGACTTTCAGTTCTGAATACCTTGATATCTGCCAAAGGTTGAATGGCTATTGTCAAAATCCTTTCCACAAAATGAAGGCAACTCTAAGACGTGATTATTGTGGTACACCTTGGCAAACTGTTGCTTCTATTGCTGCAGTTGTACTCCTCTTTCTCACAATTGTTCAAACCATATTTTCTATCCTCCAGGAGTGATGAAGTAAATTTACAGCTTGTATAACATTGGATTTGATTAGACCTATAGAGATGAGCTTTGCTTTCAGGAATAATTACGTTCATCATGCCTATTTTCCCTTGGTTTTTCAGGAAAAAAGCATCGTATGAAGTTAATAGATAATTTTTTTTTTGTGATAAAAATTTACGTTGGTCTTCCTTGCATAGTTAACAATGTGTTACAGTTAAATTTCTTGAGTGGACAAAATAACTGCTGTTTCGGAGTTAACGAATTTATTGAAAATAAATAATGAATCGGTTATCAAAGACATATTTTAAGTCCTTTAACATCGGAACTTTGGGCGCGTCTTATATTGGTCTTAGAAAGGCACGGGACGAGAATCATAGACGAGTCTGCTTGAGGAATGATTCTTTGGATGCAACTAAGCCTATCAAGGATGGAAATAATGGACTTCATGATAATATAGAAATGTCATACAATACTTTAACGAGATTGGTTTGTTGAGCTTCGACACATTCAACGAGAGAAGAATTTTGAAGTTGATATGCTGGCCAATCACGCTTTAACAATGCCCCTGGATTCGATTTGGGTCCTTTAGATCATTTCTATTTATTTGTTTCTTTATTATAATGCCGAATAATATTTATAGTTTTCTTCTTTATATTAGGAAAAAAAGACATGTTAAGTCCCTATTATTTTTCTAACCCTGCCCGAATCAAATTCACGCTTAATTTAGTTTGTCGGCTAGTTTTTTTATTTCCAATGTTCATGAAGTCCTTCAATTTTATATATCATTTAATTCTTAAAAATGGTCGTCTTGTATGAAGTTATAACAAGTTGACAACTTGCGGTGAAAGCGATTAATGTATCTTTTGCAGTGTAATACCAAAATACTGAGTACTTTTTTTCTTTGATACCAAAAAGTTTAGATGAGTTGGGCTATGGGCCCTCTCTAGAGCCAAACTGTACTTCTAGACTCAAAAAGCGCTTATAGAATAATTACTTCTTTTTATAGCTTATTATTATTTCTTTCTGATGTAGGATTAGACATGAAATTTGTCGGCTCTTCCCCCCCCTCTGTCTCTTTCTTTCTCTGCAACTTTCTCCTTTTGTGAATTTCCTGTTCTATTAACCTCTGGACCTGATTTTCATTATAATTGCTACAGTGTATGAACTTGCTTCGGTATGTACGTCTCCTTGAACATGTGTCTGACTATGCTTTAATAATTGGTGATAAATATTTTTTTTTTCTTTCATTTGACGGTTGTTGTAGAAAATTACTAATAAAAATTTTATCAAATAATAAAAAGTTAAACCAATTTGATAGTCATTTATTTAACCATAGAATATTTTGCCAACTAATTTAACGGTCAAGAGATTGGAGCTTGTTGTGTCCTTGATAATTCTCGGGGTAATTGAGAAGAATGTATCTTTATTAAAGCTAGCTAGGTTCCTCAGAGTAATTTCCCTTTTTCCTCCTCATATATATGATACTTTAATTAATAAGGCATATTTCCCTTTTCGTGTTTACCTGACCCACAATATTTTCTTTGTGATGTTCGATTATTCTTTAGAACTTAAGAAGTTGTACAATGTGAAGAGGCAAGCAGCAGCAGGGCTTAAAGCAAAGTCGGTGTTGCAAACAAAAACAGAAAATCTGAAAAAGTTCTGCACTCTGGGAAGTAAGTTTGGGAATTTTCATTGTGTGGGGAAGCACACAAGGAAAGAGTATACTTGAAAATCAACAGGCAAGAGGAAATTGATGGCAGAGGAAGATGTGGAAGATGTGAGGAGGGAGATTCGAATAATGCATTACTTCATACGGTGTCCTGACGTGAAATCCATGAAAGGGACTTTTGTTGTGATGGAGATCTGTGCAGGTGGTGAGTTATTTGACTGCAAGAAAGAAGCGAGCTTGTGTGGGACATTAGAATAGTAGGAGGAAGGGTAAAAATCAGGCGCAATAACGGTGTTAGGGTTCTGTTAACGAGAGATTGCTTCAATTTTAATATAATAAGAACAGAATTGCACTACTAAATATTTTCTAAAAATGGCTTAAATAATTTTAAAGGTAATTTTGGAAGTTGAAAGGACCTATTTTCTTGAGAATTCAAGTAAAATAGTTAGAGGTTTATATTTGAGCTAAAAATTTTAAGATAATTATTTTATGAGGTAAAAAAGCTAATTGAGACATAAAATTCTTAAAATAAATTAAGGATTACTTTTTTGATAATTATTCACCAACCAAACCCATCCGATTCACTCTTTCCCTTCCCATTTTCATTTCTGTGCGACGCTGAGAGAAAAGAGGGAGAGCTGAGAGAGTCGGAGCGAGAGGAAGAAGAACGAAGAAGGAGAAGAGGTTGAGTGGGAGCCGATTGCTTACATGCAAGGTTGGATTTGGATTAAGGTAAGCCTTCTAATCATCCTCCTATCTTCTTCCATTCAATGCATTTTGGAAGAGATTATGATGGTTTAAATTGTTGGGTTATGGATGAAAGTTAGCATCTAGCTGGAATAAATGTAGTAAAGTGGAGATAGAGGTTTGATTTAGTAAGTTATGGGTTGCACGTGCTTGCTTCACCCTCTGTTCATGGCTGCCAAAACAGAGCTTATGCTTCCTGGTTTGCGGTGTATCCATCGGGTTCAATGGGAGAGAAGCTTTAACAATCAATTTGCTGAAATTTAAAAGGGAAGAAGGAAGTCACACATACGCACACATGTGCCGTTTGTGTAGTGTTAGGAATTAAATGGAAACCGTTATACATATGTATACATGGTGTGAATGGCGCAGATATATGGAAATGAGGAAGAAAGGAAACTGTTTCATTTTCCTCAAAACTTAATTGCGAATTGAAACTAGAGGATTTACTTAGTTTTTATGTGGATACGTAATGGTTTAAGAAATGGTGTTAGATCATTTTTTCCCTTTGCCAGCCGAGGCTGATAATGAGTTTATCATTATGATGCTAAATTTGAAATGGGTTAGCTATTGTCCTTCAATCTGAAATTTTCTGTCCAGATTTACTTTAAAGGATTATATGGGATTTGAAAGTATAAGAATGGTCGTAAATTGACCATGAAATTTCGATTGCAGAAGCTCTTGGTCACCCCTTTTTTAATTGTTATTTTACCAATACAATTTTTTTTTTTGGGAATAAGAACTGTATAACTAACTGAAAAAACAGAGAACACAAGATAGCCAACAATCCTATCCTTGATCAACCTCCACCTGCTAGCTAAGATGGGGAGAGTGATCAAAGAGCAAAAAATTTCCTTCTATCCTATGCGAGAACTTTGCTAGCCTATCTGCCATGACCATATTCTCTCTTTAAACATGAGAGATTATGACCTACCAATCCCTATTCAATAAAAGTCTAACATCATAACATCCTTGAAAGGATGATCGATGTCACAGCCTCTAATAGCAAAATTAATAGCAATTATACAATAAGATAAGAGAAGAATTTTCCTATATCCTTTAGTCTAGCAAATACTGAGACCGTGGATAAAAACTATTAGTTCAGCAATCATAGGGGGAACTGTTGTCAACTTGCAGCTAAATCCACAAAATCCATTGGCCATTGTTGTCACATAGGAATCCTCTACAGCCACTTCTACCATCATATAATATCGAGGCATCCACAACGATTTTGATGTAGTCTTCAGGCTCATGCCATGGTGAGCGTCCGTTGGTTGAATGACACTGAGAATGCCTCCATGCTTCAAAAGATCTTGATCTAAGCAAGCCCTAAAGAAGCCGGTATTGGCATTAAGTCTCCCTTGAAGATCTTTCTCCACTGTGACACCTATATGTCCCAACAAATATAGCCAAATAGTGTGGGCCGTGCATGGAACCTTCTTTGTATGAATCATTCCAATCTCATTTGTTAGGTTCCATCCATTCTGATCCTTGAATTTCATTAAAATTACTCCATTTGTCATATTTTACCATCAATTTTCATCTATTTGCAGCGTTCAAACAATCTCGAATTAGGTGCATTTGATTACTGATCACATCCGAATGGACAAGAAGCCGAAACCTCTATCCCATGTCTCAATCTTAGTTGTGCCGTATGCAATCTTCCATGAGTAAAGAGCCACATAAATGTTTGGATCTTTTCTAGGCCAGACCATCTCCAAAGGATCTTCCAAATGTTGTCTCTCCTCTACTGGGCACCTACAAAAAGAAACCAATATGCAGATTTAACAGAAAAACAACTGGCGGGAGATAGTTTCCAAAAGTATTTGTCCTCTCCTCTCTCCTCACGGGGTGGATGTGCACAGGCTATGCGATCAGTGACTTGTTTGTGAAGCCAAGTTCCCATTTTCCACCTATCCCATTCACCATTGGTTGTCACGTAATCTGCAACACATTCATTCCAATCAATTTGGTCTTCATATCCTGGAATAAGATCAATCAATGGAATATTCATCTTAGACCAATTGTCAGACCAAAAGGAAGAGGTCATCCCATGGCCTATTTTCCTTCCATTGCCCCTTTTGAATTTCTTCCAGACGGCACAAATACTCCTCTAGGTGAGGGAGAAATTATGTTTTTTGTATACCGTGGGTAGATTCTGATCACCACAGTGATATTTATCCTTAAGGACTTTAACCCACAAAGCATCCTTGTTAGTTATTAGACCCCAACAAAGTGTCATAATAAAAGCTTTATTCTGTTTCCTCATATTTTTTATTCCTAATCCACCAAACCTTATCTTGCATCACTTGGTCCCAAGAAAGGAGGTGGATCTTATGCCCATCTTCGCTGTCTCCCCAAAGAAACTTCCTACTGCTCTGTTCCAAATTTTTCACAAGACTTTTCGGAAGCAAAATAACTTGCGCATAGTAAGTAGGAAGGGCTGAAAGAACAGATTTTATTGAAGTCACTCTCCCAGCTGAGTTCAGACATCCCTTTTTCCAACCCGACAATCTTTTACTGGTCTTTTCAAGCACCAGTGTAAAAGTCATATAGGAGGCTCTCTTGTGTAGTAAGGGTATACCCAGGTATTTCCCT